AATTTTGTCATTGTTTTAGTAAGTTCTTGTTTTTTTTTATTGAGCATTAGTTGCAGCATGGCTAATATTGTTTTTGGTTTTTTTTTTTATTTTTTAATTCTTTATGTTTTATTTTTAGAATTAGGTTAGGATCATGAATGGTGTTAATAATAAAAGTACATATAGATTTTAGTAAGTTAATAGATTCAATGGCAGTTATTTAATAATTCTTCATAACTCTCTCTTTCAGTTTTTTTTTTTTTTGCTGTTTTTTTTTTTATCTATTGTTTTTATCCTTTCATTTTTTTTCGATTTGTTGTTAGTTTTTCTTACTTTCTTGTTTTTGCTTGCTCATTTCATCTATTTATTTCGCCTATTTATATAAAATAATAAATAAAAATAATAAAATAAAATAAGACCATACAAAGTTAATTTTTTGGTTCTCATAAAATTTGACAAATGACCTGACTTTTAATTTTCTTTTCCAAAATTTTATATATAAAAAAACATATAAAAATTTTTATAGACTTCTAAAAAACTCACCCGAATAGTAAATATAGTCAATAATTTTTTTAAGAATTATGCGAAATTTGACCCGGCCGGGTTATGAGAACCAATTTATTAAGTTTGTACAGCCTAAAGTAAAATCGATATAAAAAATTTTTTTATTAAATTGTTGCAAAATTGGCTTTTACAGGCAGCATATCGATATTAAAAAAAAAAAACTTAGAATTTTTGTTCGATGGCTATCAGATTTGAACCAATCATATCCGGGGTCTAGCCTAATTGCCTGAACACCGGGGTTCAGGATAACTATCCTCAACCAGGGGTCTAGGATAGAACGTCCTTAAACTATACCCGGGGTATAGGATCTTAACCTATAACTCCTAAATAAATAAACTAAATTTAAAATAGCTATCACGTGTTAACTAAATTGAGAAACAGGATAAAAGCCTATACCCCCGGTACAGGCTTAAACAACCCCTAGGATAAGGACACTCTTTCAAAAATTGCATATAAAACCACTTTGTGCCCTAACAAACTTCTCCTTGAGCATTTTTCTAAATGTATGATAAGTATGGTCCAACTTATAAGAACTCTATAAATTTTATTCTCAATAAGTGCAATCCCTCTTTTTGTAATTTTTTCACTATGATCTCGAGAGGACGCACTTAGGGAGGTTGCTAACTCACCATAATATAATTTTTCTATAATCATGTGATCACGAAATATTCTGGGAAGACCAATTTTAGAAACTAAACTATTTCGGTAAATTCAAATCAAAAAATTTAATCGAATTTGATCGGGTATTTGTTGAGAACTGTATTTTTGTTCAAGATTTTAAAAACTTTGGTTTGCTACGGGTATGAATAAACGTGGGTATAAAAAATAATCCCTTTCGTTATCTGCTAGAAATGTTAATTTACTAAAATAATATTACTTGCATGAAATTGAACCTTATTGTGACCATTATCAGCAGACTGAGTAAAGTAAATAAATTTTGTCATGTCTTCTTCATTCGACTTCTTTTTACCATTTATGATTGGAAATGCACGAAGTAATTGAGCATCAGCAATACTGCACCAATTACTTCATTATATAGCTTCAATGCTTTCTCTTTATCTTCACGACTACCAATACCATTATATAAATAATAAGCATACAATATCTCTTCAAAAAAAGTTCGATTTTTCTTTTCTATTTTCAGAAATTTTGTCTAATTTCTTCGCTTATGTTTAATATAATTCACGATCAGATTTGGACTATATCTTCTTTTGGAATAATGCTTTCTTCCATTTTAGTTTCCAAGAAAATAGTAAATAATTCTTTTAATGAAAGTTTAGAAATAACTCGCTCTTTTTATTTTGCAATCAAACAATTTAGTAGAAATTAACTCTGGTCATTTAAATTTCAAAGACTATAAATAAATTTTATTAATTATGATCTCACATGCAATTTGACAAACATGGTTTTAGAATACAGTGTTTATTTTCTTTTCGAGAGTGTTCAACTTTAACAAATACTCAATTTAATCAATTTGCTATATATACATAAATAATTATTTTGCGTAATCTAGGACTCGTTGATATATCTATAGTTTTAAAATAGGATTTATGAAATTTATTTACGTAATTTTTAAAAAGTATTACAAATAACATATTTCCATTCTCGATTATAACTACTGTAATTTTCACTTATAAAATTTTATAAAAATGAATAGATTTAAGGCTAGTTTAAGTTATAAGTTATGGTTAGATGGCTTAGTTATATGTAGGTGTAGTTTTAATTTTTTCATACTTTCGCTTATTTTAGTAACACAAGATCCTTGGTCTAAATAGGTTTTCATATGGCACCCAGAAAATGTGTACCAGGTTGGGATCGGAAAGATAGGTCGGAATGATAAGAACATTCGGAACTAGAAACCAA